GTGCGGGCACGCCCCCAGCTGGCTCTCCTCACAGGCATCCGGCAGGCCTTCCAGGAGGGGCGCATAGCCAGCCTCGTTGGCGTGGAGGGCGGCCACTCCATAGACAGCAGCCTGGGCGTCCTGCGGGCACTCTACCACCTGGGCATGCGGTACCTGACCCTCACCCACAGCTGCAACACGCCCTGGTAAGTGACCCCAGGGAGGGCCCACGGGCCACGCGGGAGGGTCACAGGGTGGGGGTCAAACACCAGCTCTGCCCTCCTCCGGCACCTCCCTGCCCTTCCGGGCGCCGGGGACGTGGGTGGGCCAGGATGAGCACTCTGCCCCTGGGACACCTGCTGTCTGCTCTCCCAGGGCTGACAACTGGCTGGTGGACAAAGAAGAGGACAAGGCCCAGAGCCAAGGCCTGTCAGACTTCGGCCAGGTGAGCAGGGCATTCGGCAAGGACCACAGTCCCCCTCAGAGGAGAAGTGACCCCGGACCCAGGGTCTTACCTCCCAGGCCCTCGGTTTCCTATCAGCCGGAGCTGGCAGCGGTTGTCCCAGGGTGGGCATTCACTGGAAGCCGAGGGTCACCCCCCAGCCATTGAAGGGTTCGTGAGCACCTGGCCCAGCAAGGGGCCCTTGCCCAAACCCGCCCCCCATGCCTGGACTTGTAGGGGGGCTGTGGTGAACCCCGGAAGGCTGTGCAAACACCAGTGTGTCCAGTGCAGCCTTCCTGGCCCCTGCACCCCGTGTCCCTGCAGAGCGTGGTGAAGGAGATGAACCGGCTGGGGGTCATCATTGACTTGGCCCACGTGTCCGAGGCCACCATGAGGGCGGCCCTGAATCTGTCCAAGGCTCCCGTCATCTTCAGCCACTCCTCCGCCTTCAGCCTGTGCCAGCACCGGCGCAATGTGCCCGACACTGTGCTCCAGCTGGTGGTGAGGGGCTGTGGGGCAGGGTGTGGGGGTCCGCCCTGCTCCCTGGGCTGGTCCCGGGCGGCGGCGCCCCCTCCTGCGCCCACATCGCCCCCTTCTCCCGAGCAGAACCAGACAGGCAGCCTGGTGATGGTGAATTTCTACAACGACTATGTTTCCTGCCGAAAGGAGGCGACCCTGTCCCAGGTAGCAGGTAGGTGGGTGTGAGCGGCCACGGCAGCAGGGGCGGGGGTCCTGCTCCTGGGACCCACACCTGCTGCCTTCTTTGGCAGACCATCTGGACCACATCAAGAAGGTGGCGGGAGCCAGAGCCGTGGGCTTTGGTGGGGACTTTGACGGTGTTTCAAGGTAAGGGGCCAGGCCAGTGTCCTGTGGATGAGCTGGGAGGGTCACACCCCCCATAAACATGTCATGAGGGTCTGAAGCTAGGAAGTAGGTAACTGCAGACAGGCCCAGCATGTCTCACTCTCAAGGCAACTCCACTGGACCCCCAGTGCCTTGGGATGGGGGCGTGGGCAACTCCGTGGCGTGTGGGGAGGTGGACGGGCCCCTGAGCCCTGAGCCCTGGAATGCATAGCCTGGTTCTCTCTGCCTTCACCTCAGGGTCCCCTCGGGGCTTGAGGACGTGTCCAAGTACCCAGACCTGGTGGCCGAGCTGCTCAGAAGGCAGTGGACAGAGGCGGAGGTCAGGGGCGCCCTGGCCGACAACCTGCTCAGGGTCTTCAAGGCAGTGGAACAGGTGAGGGGGGGGCTGTTGTTTTCTTTCAGTGTTGTCAGCCGGCTGGCAGGCAGGCAGCCCAACCAGTGTCTGTCCCCAGGTGAGCGATCACACTCAAACTCCTGAGGAGGAGCCCATCCCACTGGACAAGCTGGAGGATTCCTGCAGGACCAAGTATGGCTACTCAGAGGCCCCCAGCTTCCACCACCAGCCAGGGGCCCTGCTGGCCTCCCTTACCACCATCCTCCTCGGCCTGAGTCTTCTTTGATGCCCTGGGATCTGGACCTCCTGGGTCCCTACAGCTCTGGGGAGACTGTGGCCACCAGAGCAGGGAGATTCCAGGATGCTGCTCCCCACGCACAAGGCCTGGCCTCTCCTGACCAGGTACCTGGGCTCACTTGAGGGCAGTAAGCTGTGGGCAGTGCCAGACACAGACACCCAGTGGACCGTCAATAAAGGCAACAACCCTTCCGAGTCATGAGGGTGTGTGTCCTCAGCACCCCAGCCCTGGAGGGGGCTCCTGAGCATCCAAGGGCAAATTCTGTGAAAATGGTCCCAGGCTGGACCTCCAGACATAGCAGTACCTGGGTCCTGGGAGAGTGGGGTCAGAAAGGGCTCAGGGTCTAAAAAGAACGTTGCATGGGCACTGCTTAAGTCTTTATATATAGCCTAGGCTCCAGTTACCCTCCCCACGTACACACACAGACGCCTGCACAAAGGCACATGCACGCACACACACACACACACCACACCATGATGCACACATGTGCACCCCCATGCACACGTGTGCCCCATCCTCATGCACACATGTGCCCCCATCCTCACGCACGTGTGCCCCCATCCTCACGCACACGTGTGCCCCCATCCTCACGCACACACGTGCCCCCATCCTCACGCGCACACGTGCGCCCCCATCCTCACACACGTGTGCCCCCATCGTCACGCACACACGTGTGCCCATCGTCACGCACGTGTGCCCCCCATCCTCACGCACGTGTGCCCCCATCCTCACGCACACACGTGTGCCCATCCTCACGCACACACGTGTGCCCCCATCCTCACGCACGTGTGCCCCCATCCTCATGCACACACGTGTGCCCCCATCCTCATGCACACACATGTGCCCATCCTCCCGCACACACGTGTGCCCCCATCCTCACGCACGTGCCCCCCATCCTCATGCACACACGTGCTCCCCCATCCTCACGCACACACATGTGCCCACACTGTGCCCCTTGGCCCTGCTGCCCCATTCTAGGCCAGAGCCTCTAAGAATGCCCCATCTGGGCAGGTACAGGCTTTAACACTGAGGGAGGAGTTCCCCTGCCCAGGCGCCCTGGGCCCTAAGATGCCCACAAATAAGTGGACAGCCCCGTGCAGCACCTACCAGAAACTGGGGCGCCCACCTGTGCCTGCCTGGCTCTCCCCCGCCCCTGTGAGGGTCCCTGCTTCTCATTCCCAGGCAGATCTGCCCTGACCAGAAGGGACACTGGTGGGGATTTGCGGATCACTTAGGATTGATTTAACTTTAAAGGGTTTCTGTCCTGAGTTGGCCACCCACAGCCCCCCCCCCACCCCCCCACCTGGCGGAGACAGTGCGAAGGGTCCCTCTGCTGGGCTGCGGAGGTAGCACACCAACGTTTGCTACCGAACTAACTGTAATCGAGAGAGAGGCCGCAACTGCAGGTGCCACCCAAAAACCTATCTGGTCCCGGGGAGATCTCTGCTGTCCAACCTCAATTTGTCCTGCTAGTTTGTTTCCATTTCCGCTCAACCTTGTTCCAACCTCAAGAGACCTTTCCGAGGAGTGAAGGACACGCTGGGTGGGGGGATGGGTAATCGGGACACAGAGCCTGCAGGAACCCCCTCCTTAGGCTGCGGGGGGATTCCTCCAGGGGCCACGTCTCCCCTAGTAAGGCCCACACGGGGTGCACACGCAGCCCCAAGGAGCCTGTTCACACGCGGATGTGTGTGGGTGGGAGGGCCCCGGGAGGTGGGGGCTGTTCCCAGCCAACCGGCAGGCGCATGATTCGATTCGGATGGGGCCCCCCACAGTGGAGTACCGGGAGATGAGCGCAAGGACGCGGGAACTGGTGTGCATGAGCAGAGCAGGGGCATTCTGGAGAAGCGCCGGGAGGACGGGGGAGGACCGTGCACGCTGTCCTCTGCTGAGTAACGACTGTCCCACAGAGGGGCGGTGAACAGTTCTCAGTGCTTTGTGTTGACAGATGAGCAAAGACAGGAGCACCTGAGAGTCCGATTTCCACTGTCAAGTAAGTTACAAATGAGGGGGGGATGGCCAGATTGAGCCTGATTAGAGCAAACCTGTGGTTTCTGGTGCACAGGGAAGAAAACACCCGTAGGTCCACATTGATATAAATAATGGAATAAGTAAACAGAGAGAAGAAACTCTTCCTTAGAACTGCAAATAGGAAATCACCGCGAATATTGTTACCAGGAAAAATCATCAAGGGACACGAGTATCAGGGGCAAAGTAGGACAATGTTTGCAGATGATGCTGGCAGTCTTAAAATTTCTCCCCACAAGATACTCAACAGAGGGGAACATAAAACATCATGGGGGAGACGCCTGGCCCACACCACGTGTCCCAGGTGAACAGACAGCAACACCGTGCACCTGGTGTGGAGCACTGAGGACACAGTACCACTCCTGTGATGTCAACGTCATCGTGGGAAAATGTCCCATCAGCCCGAGTGGAAAGGCAGTTTGCCAAATTACTGGCCGGCATGTCCAGGCCATCCAGGTCGGGGCGCCTCAGGGGCTCAGCAGGTGAAGCGCTCCGATTCTTGATTTCAGCTCAGGACGTGATCTCAAGGTCGTGAGATCGAGCCCCATGTTGGGCTCTGTGCTGGATGTGGAGCCTGATTGGGATTCTCAGTCTTCCTCTCCTGCCCAACCCCCACCCTCGCTCTCCTGCGATCACCCTACCTCTTAAAAAAACAGAACACCGACCATCTAGGTCACAAAGACAAATGGGACTGTCCCAGGTTGGAAGAATGGAGGATCACAAGGTGATTCAGCCAGTTACATGCGGTCAACTAGAAAGTGCACGTGGGGGGCGCTGGTATACAGAAGTTTACAGAAACAGCGCAAATTACAACTTTTATGTACCTTTAAAGTTATTTCCAGGTAAAAACTTAAAAAGAAAATTTAATACTTCAGACTCTAACTCCACCTGTAAGGGGTGGGGGCCTGAGGACATGCATACCTCACCCCACCACCCCACCTGCCCTCCTCCAGGTACCCTCCTCAGCCTCCCGCATGGGGGCTGGAGAGCCCTATCAAGGGCCCCCCTATGGCTCCCCACCCTACCCAAAGCCACTAAAGCAAAGCCGGAGAAAGTTCTCAGGGATCAATGTGTTTACTCACAACAGCATTTTAGGAAAATGGGCAAACATGCCCACTGCTCTGTGATGAGCCACAGCTGGGGAGCTCTGCACCCACCGGGCACCAAGACAGTCAGGATCTTCTCTGAACCCCCAGCACGTGGGCATCCTGAGAGACCACAGCCAGGGAGTAAGGCGAAGCCGGCAGTGTGGAAGAAAAGCCAGACAGCACGCTGACCCGCCCTCTGGATTCTCACACCAGTCTCGGGCATCCAGGTTGCTCCAACCCAACTGACCACACAGAATACCCAGGGACAAGCAAGTCCAGAAGAATCACACGTAGCAAGTCACGGTAAAGATCTCCAACATTTCTTTCCAAGAGCCACTGGCATGAGGACAGCGTGGGCAGCGGGAGCCTCTGGGAAGGGCTGGTCGGGTGGTCAGCCGTGCACGGAGCCGGGCCCCGCTCAGTACCAACCACGAAGTTCTCACCAGCTCACACCAAGAACGGGGCTTGGACCCAAATGCTCCCCATCTGCTGTCTGCTCCTTCTATTTTGGCAAAAAAAAACAAAAAACCCTGGAAGCTTCAAGAAAACAAAGTAAACCTCAGGAAATGAAAAACGTGGAAACTGCTGCGTGTCCCAGGAACTCATCAGGAGGAGCTGCTGCTAGCCGCCCGGCCGCGGCTTCTCCCTGACGCTGGCCCCACCGGGGGCCCCTCTTGGAGCGCGCAAGCTCCTAGGTCGGACGGTGTGAGCCCACAGACAGGAGGAGAGACCAGTCGGGGGGTGAGGGGGAGGCACCCATTATTTACAGCACAGAAGAGAACAACGCAGATGCAGCACCCCAGGCCGGAGTGTGGACTGCCTGCTCCTCGCTGGGAGGGACCACAGTGCAGACCTGAGTTCCTACAGGACACACAGCACACCCCTCAGGGCCCCAGGCCCTCCAGAGGCAACAGTGGAATGAAGATGGGGGGCCCCTGGGTGGGCGTGCCTGGATATGGAGCACGGTGCCTGACGCCAGGGATCCCAGGTGGGGCTCAGCCAGCTGGCCTCCAGGGGCCTGGCAGCAGGAAGAAGCCCTGACGCCCACTGGCTGACCACCAGGAGCACATCTGCCGTTACACGGAGTCTGAAGGCCCCCATGGCCCCCATGGCATCCACTGGTCAGTCCCCGTCAACGTCTCAGAGGGTGGGGGGACGGGGGGGGCCTGCAGAACCCCGAGCTGGTCAGCCCAGAGTCACAGAAATAACCCACAGAAGTCAGAAAGTTGTGCAAACTCACCCACCAAGACACAGAGCCACCGTCTACGATAAGAGGGACAATTCCCAGGCCTGGAGGGAAGGGCCACGCTGCAGGGTGTGCAGAAAGGCAAGAGGCATGGGGAGAGAGATGGAGCCCTCCTCCCTGGCCCTTCCTGCACGTCACGGCCAGGGAAGCAGGGCCCTACAGGAAGGCTCGGCTAGTTTCTCAAGGCGGCCAACCTGCAAATCAACAACACAGCTCCTGTGAGGGAGGGCGGGGGGCAGAGGTGCCTCTGACCTGTGGTGTGCTCAATATGAGATGCCAACCCTGGGGGCCGAGGGCCCTCTATTGGGCCACGGCCCTCTCCTCTCAAGCTCAGCTTTGCAAGGCTGTCCTGGGATAGCACAGGAAAAGCTTGGGGACCAGCCATGTGCTGTCAAGTATCGTTATGTGACTTCCTAAAGCGAACTGCGTACAAGTCTGTGAGCACGCGGCTGACACCCAACACGGACATCGAGCAAGGGCAGGGGAGAGAGGCAGCCAGACGGAACCTGGGCTGGGCCTCGGGTGGGGGCCTCCTCGGGAGGAAGAGCACCAGAGCCCGGCCGAATGAGCTCTCCTCCCGAGGCCTCGGTGTTCCCTTCTTCCCTTCCCTTCCAATGCGCCTCCTTCCCCCCCAACCGGCCGTCAGAACATGCGGTCACCAGCCCAACATGGGGGCACTGAGCCCACCTCCGAGACAGCTGGTCCTCCTGGCTGCGCACGGAGCTCTCGCCCACGGCAGAGGCGCCCTCGGGCAGCTGGCTGAGCTGGTCCAAGACCTCCAGGCCATTCTCCTCAGCGATCTGCACAATGAGGCTGTCCACCTGCTCCTGCGGCGTGGTCAGCGTGGTGGCCGAGCTCATGGAGTCCTCCATTACCTGGGGGTCATGTTCTGGGCAGGTGGGTGCAGGCCCTGGGACCTCCACTGCGGCCCCGTTTCTGGCCACCTTCTCAACCATGCTTCCTGCTCACTCCCTCAACCCGTACCAGACCTCCCCGCTGCAAGGCACTTTCTCCAGCACTCTCAGTCCCCTGGGTGCTGAGCTGGCCACTGCTCTGGAAGAGGCGCTCACACCCTAGCCTCGGGCCTCCCTCTTATCTGCCAGACCTCCATGTGCTGGTCCAGACCCCGCAAGAGTCAGGTGCTCCAGAGGTGGCCCCCCCAGAGGGAGGCCAGCCACACAAGCCACCCCCTGGACCCACCCCCTGCACACCAAGACCACAGGTGACATACCGATGTGTGCACATCCAGGTTCTGCACCTGCTGCTCAAACCTGTCCATCACCGCAGAGACCTTCTGCAAGTCCATGGTGCTCAGCGCCCTGTCCAGGGCTTTGGTCACCTGCGCCATGTTCTTGGTCACCTGGCACAGGACAAAGTGAGGAGGCAACAGAACTGAAGCAAGGAGACGTCACCCACGGGAGACGGGCCCTCAGCACTCTCCTCAGGCGCACAGGCCCCCAGGGCCAACAAGACTCCAGCCCTGGCCAAGCCAAGCCATGTTCAGGACCGGCTGGACCCCTCGGGACTGCAGGGCTCTTTGCTGGCAGGTCTCCAGGAAATGCTGTCAACTAAACTACAGACACGAGACCCAAGCCATGGCCCCTTAAGAAAAACCTGAGGACACCTTGTCTAGTCCTTGGGTGCTGCCCCTGTGGTGTGGAGGGAATCCCCACTACACCACCCACGGGGTCCGGCACGGCTCCTCAACTCTGCCGGCCGAAGCTGGCCCACGTGGCGTATGACTCGGCACGAGCACTCACCCCCTTCATGGTCACGGCCGTCTGCACCTTGGAGGCCACTGCGTCCACGCGGGATGCCATGCGGAGCCAGTTCACACCTTCGTTCTTCTTGCGGATGGCATTCTCGGCATATACACGCGCACACTCCACGTTCTTCTGCTGAAGGGCCTGAAATTCCGGGGAAGCACGAGCTGGGAGAATGGGGCTGTTCTACGAACAGCCTGGTCCCGGCTTGCCCTAGGCCGAGATCTGCTAGCACGGGGCAGCCCCTCTGGCCTGTGAGCTTCATGAAAATGCAGAAATGCCAGGCCCCTGGCCTGTTCAGGACCTAGGGTGTCCAGGCAGGGTGCCAGACCAGCCCGCGCTGGGGGATACACAGGAGACCTGGCCCCAGGGACACAGCCGCCTCTCCCACCTGCTGGCCCGTCCCCTCCGGCCGCACACCCTCTTCGGTCTCTTCAGCCGCCCGCACCACAGGAGCTCACAAAAACCACCGAGGCAAATGCCGACGCCAAAGCAAGCAGGACCATGGAGGAAGATGAAGGAGCTGACTGGGGTCAGTCCTCCAGTTTCCCTTCTGCCCTGGGAGTGCCAGTTTGGGTGAGGGGGGTCACCAAAGTCTAACACCCCCAGGAGCCAGCCCACCCAAGCAACAGCTGTCTGGAAGTCCCCACTGAGAGCAGCCAGAGCCTGCCTCCCCCCATCTCCCCTCTGCCCCAGTTCTGAAGCCTGAGGCACGTGCTTTGCAAGGAAGAGGGCAGGAAGGGACGGGGCTGCGGCAGGGACGGCTGGAAGCCCACGTCCCACACACTTTGTGAAAAATGCGCGTTCAGAACTTTGGAAGTGAACAAAAGGCATGGACGTTCCATGAAAAAAGTGAAGGCAACACACAGTTCTTTTGCTCTGGACGCCCCTTAGTGGGCAGGGAGGCAGAGGGGGGGCCACTGCAGGCCCTGAGCAGGCTCCTGAGAGAACACCCAGGGCCAGAGTCGTGGGGCGCCCCTCACACAAAAAGAAGACACCAGAACAATGCAACAGAAGCCCCAGAAGCAAGGGACGCGGCCCGGGCGTGCTGCAGCCTCACCTTCTTCACTTTGGCCTGCTCCGCCTTGGAGTCCTTCTCTGCCTTCTTGGCCAGCTTCTCCAGCTGCTTTGCCGTGAACTGAGCAGAATCGGGACACTCAGGTCAGACACACACAGCCAGTCCTTTGGTACCTCCCCACCCTCCTCAGTAGCCCCTGCCCCGACCGCACAGAGAAGGTGCCCAGCCTGCCAGTGTCCTCATGGCCCGGGGCTGCATGGAGGGAGCTCCCTGGGTCTCTGAGGCTCAGGGGACAGGGAGGGCTGTGAGGGTTTCCTAAAATGTCCTAACCCAGAATGCCTAACCCAAACCCTCCCCCAGAGTGGAAAGTTAAAAAGCCAACTCACACAGGAGCTCCCGGGCAGCTCAGTCGGTAAAGCATCTGCCTTTGGCCCAGGTCCTGATCTCAGGGTCCTGGGATCGAGCCCCACATCGGGCTCTCTGCTCAGTGGGGAGCCTGCTTCTCCCTCTGCCCCTCCCCCCACCCCCTGGCTCATGAGCTCTCTCTCAAGTGAGTAAAATCTTTAAAAAAAAAAAAAAAAAAAGCCTACTCACACAATCATTACTACTTACGGATTTTCTTTCTTTCCTTTTTTTTTTTTTTTTTTTTTAAAGATTTTATTTATTTATTTGAGAGAGAGAGAATGAGAGAGAGAGAACACATGAGAGGGGATAGGGTCAGAGGACGAAGCAGACTCCCTGCCGAGCAAGGAGCCCGATGCGGGACTCGATCCAGGGACTCCAGGATCATGACCTGAGCCAAAGGCAGTCGCTTAACCAACTGAGCCACCCAGGCGCCCCGTTTCTTTCCTTTTTTTAAAGATCTATTTATTCACGAGAGAGAGAGTGCAGAGGCGCAAGGGGGAGGGGCAGAGAGAATCTCAAGCAGACTCCCCGCTAAGCGCAGAGCACAACATGGGGCTCGAACTCAGGACCCGGAGTTCATGACCTGAGCCAAAACCAAGACTGAGCCACCCCTACTTACGGATTTTCAACTTTCGGGAAAAACTCGACAGAATCTGTTTCAGGCGACCCCAAGTGGTAATACAGAATTCCCGATGAATATACACCTCAAAGTGTTCTCTTCACAGAACATTGTGTTTGTGAGGGGCTGCTGGGCAGTGCATGCTCCCAGGCCTGGTCGGAGTGGTCCCCATAGCTCCCCCCAAAAGGCCTCATTTAACCAGGAAGCCAGCAGGAGAGAATGCTCAGATAACCCAAGTGAAAGAGTGACCTTCCAGAGGCCCACATAGCTTCCTGGCTGGTGGTGTTCCGGTGTTCCCTCAGCCTGAAACACCCTCCTGACTGGGACTCCCCCACCCTGCCCCTCAGCGCCCCCCCAACTTGGGACTTTCTGTCACGTAGAAAGGGTTTCTTGTCAGCCTACCTCACACTCCTACATTCTTTTTTTTTTTTTTTTAATATATTTGTCAGAGAGAGAGCACGAAGGATGTGAAGGGCAGAGGGAGAAGGAGACTCCCCTCTGAGCAGGGAGCCCGATGCGGGGCTTGATCCCAGGACCCTGGGACCGTGACCTGAGCCGAAAGCAGGTGCTTAATCGACTAAGCCTCCCAGGCACCCCCTCCTACGTTCCTTCAGGGAAAAAATCCAGATTTTCCTAACCCAGGAATCTGGCCCTGAGCACCTTCCACAAGGTGGAAGCTTGCTGAACAAAGTGCCTGGGGCCTCCTGGTATTCCCTGCCCTTCCTCTCCATTGCAAAGCCAGTGTGATGAACTACAGTCAGCAGCTTGGGCACATCACTCCCACCCAGTCTTTCAGAACTAACCATGGCTGGTTAACTATGGAGGCATTTAAGGGAAATGCAGCAGAAGCTTGCCCTGGATTAATTATAAGAGGCATGCTGCGCTGCTCAGAACACTCTCCTTCAACATGATTTTAAAGAATTTGAAACCAGTTTTAAATGCCTAGTGGAACATCAAGGGATGCACCTAATACCCAAGCTGTGTTTAAGATAGCAGGCTCACTCCCTCATGGACAAGCCCATGTGATCTGCTTCTGCTCAGCCCAAGACAAGGAAAGGATTAATATGCAATCAAGCCAACTCAATAACCTCCCCTTTGTCATCAGTCCAAAAGAGCACTGCGCAGAAATCACGCAATTGGTAATCCATCCTTCCGAGTGTGACTGACACCATTTGTCCTCATTTGCTAATCACCAAGACAGGGTTGGGGTGAAAGGTCCTTCAGTACATACCTTCAACTGGAACAGGGTATCTGCAAAGAAAGGAGATGGTTTGAGGATTTCAACTGTGACAAGCGGCACTTCTAACAAGCAGATGGGGCCACTAAGACCCTCCTCGACACAGAGAGTTGGGACAGGATGCAGGCATGGATGGGGCCTTCAGGGAGGCCCACCACACACTGGAGGCAGAAGATGGACTCGTGCACCAGTTCTGCTCCCTCATCAGTCAGAGGGCAAATCTGGAGGCTCCAGAACCTCTGATTCCTTACAGGTGGTCCCAGGGTGGTACCAGCTGACCTCAAGGATTAGTGTGCAGACAAAGCAGATCATGGATGCAGCACGTGGCCCACAGTGAAGGCCCGAGTGGTGGTTTGTACTTACAGCAACTTTACAAAGGCCCTTGGGGTTCTTTCCCAGTTTAATAAAGCTCAGCACTGGACAATCTGCATTTTATATGCTCTTTATCCCCAAAAGTAACTGGATAAAAGTAGCACTGTGAGGACTCCTGTGCTATCAAAGACCTGACCCACAGAGACCACCCTCCATGGCATCTGGCAAGTCTGAGCCACCAAATCGGGCTCAAGTGCCTACCTGTCCACATGGAGGAACCGAAGAGACTTGAGAGGATTAAGAGCTAAGTCTCCGGATAGCCACACCTGCTACTCACTCACCAAAACTCAAGAGCCAGGTAGATCCAGATTCACACTTAAACTGTCTCAATTTATTCCATTTTTAGACGTGCAGAATGATGTCTGGAAGGGTTTACCACACTGGCCCAGAATTAAGAAACTGAAATCTGTAACCAGGATGAGGGTGCGTTCACAAATGCAAATCAAGACCCCGCAGCTGAGAGCCTTGGGGTTTCAGGCACGCCCCGTGCGCGCCCTGTCAAGGCCGAAGGCGGCTGTGGAATCTGTAAATCGGCGCTGACTGGACCCAGCGGACAGGCAGAGTGCCTCCCGCAGGGACAACAAGGCGCGGCGAGGCCGGCTCTCCAACTCTCCAATCACCGCCTCTCCCTGCCTCGGCTTTTCATCTCTAACGGCGCAGCAGGAAAGACTCTCAAGAGCAACGAGCTGTTAGGGCAAAACCTAACCCCGGAAGAACGTGATAGCGGCCCAAAGAACATCACCACACTGCGGAGGAGAACCCAACTCTTGGGGGGGGGGGGGGGCGTGGCGCTGTTCATCTTCCGAGGTGGCGGGTGCAGAGCTTCCCTCGTGATGACGACGCTGTGGTCCAGCTCCTCACACTTCACAAGTGGTTTTCAGAGCCTCTCGACCACACCAGCCCTTACGCACTCCAGCAAACGCAGGCGCCTCTCCTTCTCACCCACCCTTCCTGTTCCTTGGTGTCCCTGGGCGCGGAGCGGGGCAGAGTGGGTGCCGCAGGCCGTGGAGGCCGAGGCCAGGGGGCTCAGGCTCTACTCGGCTTCCGCATCCGCAGAAGGGGCAGAGAGTTCCCACCCCACACGCACAACCGTGCCGGGCACGGAGCAGGCACTTGTTGCCCGAGCTCGTCCTTCGGAGCGGTGTTCTGGGGACAGGGGTGCAACCGCCTCCTTTTCCGGTGCCCTCTGACCTGACCGCCCAGGGCCCAAAGGTCGATGTCCCTCGCCGGTACGGGACCTGGGGTGCGGGGGCTGGACGCTGAGTCCGGTGAAGGGGGCGAGGGTCCGGCACCGAGGATAGGGATCGGGGTCCGGGGTCCCGGATCGACCCCGGAGGGCGGGGTCTCTTACCGTCCATGGCCGGTCCGGCAGCGGCAGCGGCGGCGCTCGCACGAACGGACGCTCGGGACTCCGGGGCCGAGCCGACCGCCCCTACCAGCTCCGCCGCGCGGGAACTTCCGGGGTCGCCGCCCAGTTCCGGCGAGCGGCAGCTCTCGCGAGAGCACGGCGCCAGTCGCGGGGGCGGGGCGTGGGCGGGGCGTTGCCGTGGCGTTGCCGTGGCGACCCGCGCCGCTCGGCCGCGGGACCCTCTGTGAGCCGGTCGGGCTGCGCGCCCGCGGAGGCGCCGAGGGCCGGGCTGCGCCGGCGGGGGCGGCGGGGTCGCCTATGGGCCTGTCCAAAAGCAAACACAGGTCTAGGAAAGGTGAGGAGCGCCGGCCCGCCGTCTCCTCGGCCGCGTGCCCGCGGCTCGCGCGGGGGTGCGGGGCGCCGCGCCGGAGTCCTCCCTGATGGCCGCGCCTCGGGGTCTTTCCACGCGTGTCCAGAGGGCGGAAGAGACCCTGGGCCAAAGCTGGCAACTGGAGGTGGGCGCCCACGGCTCTAGCTTCAAGAAAACAAGACTAACTCACTGTCCACGGATTTCAGGTGAGGAGAAAAAGAAGGGGCGCGGCTCCTCCACTGCGAAGACTAAGGAAAGGGCGATGGACCGGCGTTCTCAAGAGACCGAGAGGCCGCCAGACACCAAGGCTGCGGAGAGCTGCCAAGGGAAGAAAGCGGCAGCCCAGCGACAGTGGCCTTCTTCATCTGGAGTCGAAGGTAGGACATGCCCAGGACCGGATGGAGCCCGAGGGCAGGAGTTTGGGGTGGGATACTAACGGCGGGGGCTCTAGGATCTTTGTCTAGGAGGTAAACATCCAGGACTGTAGGTGGAAAATGTATCGCAAAACAGGATAGGCGCCCAGCGGATGGCCGAGGGGCTGCGCGGCGCCCTCGCCCATCCTTCAACGTTCCGCAGACCGGAACAGCACCGTGGAAGGCTACTTCAGTCTGGGGTACAGCCGTGTGAGAAGGGATGTGGGAGCCCCTGCCTGGCACGGGGATCAAAGGGACCGGAATGTTGGTGGGACAAAGGGGTTGAACAGTTTGGCAAATTGATTCACTTTGCTTACAGCCCAGGGCGACTAGACCTTTGCATGTAGCGGGGGGCGGGGGGGGGGGGATGAGGCCACAGAAGCTGCGGAATAGGCAGCCTTCCATCTGTTTTGTCATGTGCGTCGTGGAAATGCAACTGTTAAAATAGTTAAAACAAGGGAGGTGTGATGGGGTTTGTGCCTTGGAAAACTGTTTCTTTATAGAGTAGAGGCTGTTGAGGGCAGTGAGGGGACCTGCCTTGGCCCAAGGCTGCAACTGAGTAGGGGCTAATGAAGCACGGGCAGTAGGAATTACAAAAGGGTCCAGGATGTAGAACCAGCAGAACCTGCTGTTGGATGAGATGTGGGAGGTCCAGGGCCATGAGTTTCACTGACCATGAGAATGGATGGTCAGTGGATCAGCCGATGTCAGGAGGAATGCTGGCCTGGCAGGGAGACAGGAGCTGGGCGCAGGCTCAGATTGAGGCACCTGTGAGGTCATCAAGGGCGGCAAGCTGTTTGAAATGAGGGTGTTGGGCTTGGGAGCAAGGCCTGGACTTCAGATCCTGATGTACACATCCTTGCTTAAGAGCGGAAGACTGCAGGAAGGGCCAGAGTCCTGGGGAGGAGGTTTGGAGAATGCTACCAGTCCGTCAGGAGCCTTCTGGCTGCAAGCCACACAACAGCCAACAAGATACGGCTTTACTGCTGAGCGCTTCAATGTCCCCCAAATAAAGGGTCAGAGGAGGGCACTCAGGGTGGCTTGCTCAGCAGCATGCAGTGACATCAAGGACTTTGGGTCTACACTTTGCCACCCTCAGTATCCACGGTCCCCAGACAGCTGAATGGCTCTAGGTGTCACATGCATACGGGACTGCTGTCCTGTCCCTTCCCCTGCTGGACCTCACTTGCCCAACATTGCTAGGATGGGCTCAAATGTGAACATTCTGGGGCTGGACCTCTATCAGCAAGGGCAGGTGTGGGCGGGGAGGGGGGGTGCCTGCTGGAGAGGCACAAACAGTGTCTGTCACACCCTCATTTCAGAGAGTAGAGAGAGGTTGGACATAGAGGGGAAAGGTCAGAGAGCAAGAATGAGGATGGACTTTCCAGAAAGACGGTGAAGAGTGTGGTTTCTCCATATAAGAAAGCATCTCAGCAATAACACAGAGCAAGCTACTGCCCACATGCTGTACCATGAAGGAGTTCCCAAATCCTGATACTCCCCGAAAGGAGCCAGATGTAAAGACCACATATATTATTGTTCCATTTATATGAGATGTCCAGAAAAGGCAAATTTACATAAAGGGAAGCTTGGACTAAGGGTGGGAACAGAGATTAGCCACAAATGGGCAGAAGAAGTCTTCTGAAGGTGATGGAAGTGTTCTTAAAACTGGATCGATGGGTGTCCAACTCTGAAAATTTCCTAAAAATCATTGAATGGTATGCTTTAAACAGGTAGTACGTAAATTAGAATGCAACAAAGCTGTTAAAAAAGAAAGAAGATAATAAAAAGAACTCTCAAAGAAAGAAGGTAAAATAGTCGACAGTGTCGTATGTTGCAAAAAGATTGAGTAAACCCAGAAAAGACCATTGAATAAGGCGAGTCGCTGGTCTTGGTGGCCTTGGAGAGAGCACAATCCAACAATCAGAAGTGAAGACAGACACATGGTCTGCCAGGTAGAACATCTAAACTAGGGCAAGAGCATCCTCTCCTACATTTGTGTTTTAAAGCTGAAACTTTTCCCTATTAGGTTTGGAAAAGGTAGGATTTTTGGAAGTCAGAGTTTCCTTCAAATAACCTAGTACCATAGAAGCCTTAGAGGAATGCAGAGTCCTGATGAGTCAAAACTTCTGTGCATTACATAATTAATAAAAGTAGGTATTACTGCTGTGGAACGGAAATCAGAAAGCTCTTGCTGGGGTCGGGGAAGGGGAAACTAGCTGACTGGAGGACTCTGTAAGGTGATAAAAGTTCTGCATCTTGTTTGGGTGATTACAAAGGTGCGTACAATTGTGAAAACTCATCCAGCTGAACATGTTAAGAACTGTGCATTTTATCTTGTGTGAATTGTGCCTCAAAAAGCTTGGAAGACAAGTCCTTGTCTCTTAGAGCTGCACCCAAAATACTGAAGTATAAATCGATGTGATTGATGGAGATGGTATCTGAGATTTGTTGCAAAGTGAACTAGTATAGTGTGGCTGGGGATATTTTCCAAAGGCAGCCATCACTCCTCCTCTCCCTCTCGTTTTACCGTGTGACCTTGATGCTCCTCCCACCTGGGGGAGTCTGTATCCTCTCTCAAACCTCTGCAAGCTTGACATTTTCTTGTAACCAGTAGAATGTGGTGAAAATGGTTTCTGAGGCTGGGCCATGACCGGCGATGCAGTCCTGCCTTGCTCACGGGAACCCAGGCTGGTGCTTGGAACCGAGAGCTGCCACATCATGCTGTCAAGAAGCTCAGCCACTTGGGGAGGCCATGTGGGGGTACTAAAGTCAGCAGTCCTGATTGCTAAGTGCCTTCCAGCCCAAGTGCCAGATTTGTGAGTGGACAAACCTTTAGGTGATTCTAGCCCCTGGCTTTTGAGTCTTCCCAGCTGAGCCACAGGACCCCACGTAGCAGCAGCAGCAGTGACCAGCCCTGTGAATGGCCATCTTGCACGTCCAGCCCAGTGGAGCCTTCCGAGAACTGCAGCTCCAGACAACACTCAACTGTAGCCATCTCGGGACCATAAGTGATAGCTGCCTAGTCAAACCTGTCCCGAATGCCCGACCCTTCAAACTGTGAGAAAATAAAACCATTGTTTTAAGCTAATAAAGTTTGGGATAAGTGGTTATACAGCAGTAGTAACCAGAACAGAGGCTAAGTGCTGGGGCAGAGATAAAGTTTGATTGTGGGTTTTAACTGTGGCAGCTGTGTGATGGGGCATATCATCTTGTCTCACTACTTATGCATATACTTAACATTTTGCATTCCAAAATCCACATACATACATTATAGAGATTAATACACCAGAAATTTGCAATCAGCCAGTTCCAAAATGCTGGAAATCCTACTGAAAAAGAAGACCCTAATTTTTCTACAAATAAATGACATCAGGATGCACGGGTGGCTCAGTCGGTTAAGCATCTGACTCTTGATTTCAGTTCAGGTCATGATCTTAGGGTTGTGAGATTGAACCCTGCATCGGGCTCTGTGTTGGGTGTGGAGTCTGCTTAAGATTCTCGCTCTTCCTCTAAAATCCTCTAAAAATTTTTTTAAAAATGACATGAAAAAAAGGAGGGTGTCTTGGTCTGCTTGGGCTGCTATAGCGAAACACCATCCACTGGGTAGACTCAACAGACACCTATTTGTCATAGTCTTAGACGCTGAGGAGTCCCACAACCTGGTACCATGATTTGGTTCCTGGGAGGACCTCTTCTTGGCCTGCAAACAGCCATCTAATTGCTGTGTCTTCACATGGCTGAAGAGAGAGGATTGTGGTCTCTTCCTCCTACTGTAAGGGCACTGATCCCATCATGGGGGCTCTACCCTATGACCTCAGTTCAACCTGATCACCTCTCAAAGTCCCCACCTCCAAATACCATCCCATTGGGGATGAGGCCTTCAACATATGACTTTTGGGGGGGATACATTCAGTCCATAGCAGAGAGATTGTACAAGATTTGAGGGACCTAGGTACCAAATACAGTATAGGCCTGGGCCAAGTCATTCTTGAGATAACCAAATTGGGTATTAGATAATAATACAGAATCAATGGTAGTTTTCTTAGATGTAACAAGGCTATTGTGATGCTAAAACAATCCTAATTTGATAGAGCGCTATACTGCATTATTTATGGGTAAAATTATGTCTGAGATTTGCTTGAAAATACTCAGAAAACTGATAGAAAAAACAAGGTGACAAGATATTAATTGAAGCTGAGTGATGCATATATGGGTACTCACTATACTATTCTATTTTCATGTGTGTCTGAATATTTCCATAGGTTTTTTGAAGGTAGAATGTGATTATTTGCAATAAATTTTTGAAAAAGAAGAGAAACTTAAGGAACATTTGTTTCTCAGCTACTAAAAATATACT